CCCCCCCCCCCCCCCCTGGTGGTGCTTCTCGCCTCGGTGGCCGGTAAGCCCACCTCCACAACACCGCCGCTGGTTTCTGCGTTTCCACCCGTGTCTCTGTCGTGTGTGTCAGTAGTGCTCGAATCCCCCCCATTAATCACGTGCCTGAAGGATGGGCGCTTGCCGCCCATCCTTCAGCCTCGTCAAGCGCTTTGTTCGAGGGAGCACGGACAGGGGATGATAAATCAATTCTATCTTCATCATTGCACCTCCTCCTGCAGGCGTTGAGCTCGCAGGCAGTGTCCCATTGTTTTTGCCCTTTGCAAACGTTGGGTGCAGCTTCCTCCAACAGAGAGGTGGTTTGTCCCGCCGCCTGTCTGCAAGCAAGGAAGGAGAAGAAATTAAGACAACGCAATAGCCGTTCCTTCTCCCTACGTAGTGTTGAGGAAATGGTGAATGCGTCCCACAGATGGATAACCACAGCTTAGCTTATTGGGTTGATCCGTAACTGGTTATTGAGCCCACAGGTTACTCCTGCGGGGAGACGGCACACAAGCGGTAGATCTCAGCCAGATCTGAGCCATGGACGCTGCCGCAGCGGGCGGTGAAGCCAACCCTCATCTTGATGGGGATGTCCAGATGCACGGACAAGGCGAAGGCGTCGGAGGCGGTGATGGATCTGGAGAGATCCAGCCGGGCAACGACGGACACGCTGGAGAAGCACCCAACGGCAATGAGCCTGGCCAGAACGGCGTAGGCAACGGCAATGGTGCTGGAGACGGCGATGCGGAGATGGTGGTGTCCGGGGAGGAGCGTGCTGCTGCTGACAGTGTCCGGGGAGGAGCGTGCTGCTGCTGACAGAGTGGCACACCAAACCTCCCTCGGCGCCTACGTCGACCAGCATGCGCCACAGCAGCAGGCCGGTCATACGGCTAGCAGTCTGACCCTGCCGGGCGTGGTGGTCAAGAGAACAGCGGAGTCGGTGCTGGAGCGCAAGAAGCTCAAGCTTCATGCCTTCACTGGCGGCCAAGCTGGCTTCCCCACGTTCGCGTTTGAGGTGCAGAGCAAGTGTCAGGCGGCCAAAATTGCCTACCTGCTCAACAAGGACATCCGTCAGCAGATGCGGCTCGGCATGGGTGCTGCGCAGTACGATGCTGACAATGCCCATCTGCACGCGGCGCTGCTGGATGCGCTGCTCCCTGACAAGGGATACGAGGGCGACGGGCAGGCCCTGGCCGTCATCCAGCAAGTGCCAACGGGCGACGGTGCAGCAGCCTGAGACGCGTTGTATGAGTCGTTTCATCCATCGCGTCCTGGCTCCTGGTCCGAGGCCTACACGCGGGTGGTCAACTGGCAGTGTGACCCGACCTGGAACTTCGAGCAGGCGTTGACCGACTTCCTGCGGAAGGTGCAGCGTGCGAACGAGCTGCGCCAGCTGCAAGGGGTGCATCCGATCAACGACCAAGAGAAGGTCGAGTTCTTCGTCAAGAAGCTGCCGGCGTCGTTTGGCCGTGTGCGCGAGGCGGTGGTAGTCGATCCATCCGCCAAGTACAACTTCGAGACCCTCGTCCGCGTGTGCCGCCAGTGAGATGACGCGCTCAAGTCACTCAACGGGCCGGCTGCACAGCAGCAGGGCCAGGGCGGTGCGTCGAGCAGCGCGGCGGGCGTGGCGGGCGAGGTGATGGGGACGGCGCAGAAGGTGACGTTCGTCAAGATCCCCAAGAAGAAGAAGAAGGGCAAGAAGCCCACGAGCGGACAGCCGACGGTGCAGTCCGGCGTGAGCCTCAAGAACAAGCAGATGAAGGCGTCGAAAGACGCGTCATCGGGTGCCAAGGAGGGCAATGGCGGCAAGACCGGCAAGGGCAAGAAGGGCAAGGGACTCAAGTGCTTCCTCTGCGAGAGCACCGAGCACCTCTACCGCAACTGCCCGCAGCGCGAAGCCGGCAAACAACTGCTTGCACAGCAAGTACGTGAACACACAGATGAGCAAAGGGAAGGCAGTCAGTGCTCTTTGCTTAGCGAGCGGAGTGCAGAGGTAGCAGCTCTGTATGCCCGTGAAAATGCACAACCTGCAGACACACAACACAGAGATGTGGCTGATGTGTTTGTGGTTGGAGTGGCACACTCGTCTGCAATGGATGGATGTGTTAGTGAGCGTGTGTGTGACGCACTGAATGATGTGTGTACATATGCACTGCTCGACTCAGGCTGCACGAAGCATGTCTTCTGCTGTGCTGACCTGTCTGTCAGATGGACACCTCGTAGAGGTTGGTTACGGGTTGCCGACGGCAGCATGGTACCCATCAAAGGTGAGGGGACGGTCGCACTGCCGATCATGACCCGTGATGGACGCCTGCGTGTCGTTGTGCTAGATGGGTGTCTTCTCGCGCCAAGGCTGAAGAATAACCTGCTGTCGGTTGCTGAGTTTGAAGATAGCGGTTGCTCGGTTAGCTTCGGCGAGTTGAGAGCCATCCATCTGCCTGTCGAGGGCGTAGAGGGCCTGCAACAGGACACTGAGTGCTTAGACGTGCCAGTGACCCGATGTGACAACCTGTACGTCTTACCCTTACGTGTTATGCATGGTGGTGGAACACGGGAAGGGGAGGAGGCGTTGAGGAGGAGAGGGATGCATGCGTGACGGACGCTGATGATGAAGGCTCGTCTCGCCGTTATCTGTGTGCATCTCTTCAGCCACAAGTGAATCCATCCATAGGGTGTGAATGCAGCGGTGGGGACGCCCATGACCGTGCATGTCCACTCAATTCATCCCTCGCAGACGCACATAAGCGAGGGACCAGTCAGGCGCCCGTGCATGCGCCTGACACACACACACAAAGGGCAGCCAACGCCCATGTGTCCTCGTCCACCAGTGAGTCTGGTGTGCATGTGCACGCACCTGCCATCGATGACTCGACGGGCATAAACCTCCCTAAACAGGAGGAATCGGCCGATACTGCAGCGTATCGACAGGCGCATGAGCGTCTCGTACACGTGAGCGATCGTGTGATGATGCGCCTACCAGAGCTCGCCACGGGCCTTGACAGTTGGCCTTTGTATCGGAGATACAAGGACGGCACGAAATGGCTCCACCTGCGCCCTCACGGGCAGAGGACCCCTGTGAGATCTGCATCAAGGCAAAAAGCACACAGCTGCCTCCTGCTGCTGACTGTGATGAGTCACCTGAGTGCACGCGACCTTTCGAATTGGTGCACACAGACATCTGTGGCCCGATGCCGAACTCGTCGCCGGGCGGCTTCCAGTACTTCATCACGTACACGGATGAGTACACCAAGATGGTGGCGGTGTACATGCTCAGAACCCGAGATGAGTCGGCAGCTGCGCTGAGGCGGCTGTGCGGCGAATGGGGCAAGACACCTGAAACGATCAGATCAGATTGGGCTCAAGAGCTCTCTGCTGGTTCGTTTGAACAAGAGTGTATCGATAGGGGCATCAAACGTCAGTTTAGTGCGCCCTACACACCTCGAGAGAATGGTGTCGCCGAGCGAATGAACCGCACACTCCTGGAGAAAGGGACCGCCCTACTCCTTTGTCATGGCATCACCAAGGCCTTCTGGCCGTTCGCCATGGACACAGCGGCATATCTGAGGAACAGAATGCCAACGGAGAGCCTCTCAGAGGACAAAACGCCATATGAGATGTGGCATGGCCGCCGGCCTTACCTGGGCCATGTGCGTGTGTGGGGCTGTCTTGGCTGTGTTCATGTGCGGAAGCCCTTCAGAGCACACAAGTTTGCGGCCAGGGCAGTTCCCATGCTGCTGATAGGCTATGATGGTCGAACCAAGGATGCCTATCGCATGTGGAACCCCAAAACACGACGCGTCATCATCTCGCGTGATGTTCGTTTCCTCGAGAAGCGTACCTGGCATCGACGGCTCGTGCCGGCCAGCTGGGAGGCCACCCATAGACTCGGTGAACCTCTCCAGGCCCGCCCTGAGCTTGTCGACGACCACGCGCAAAGAGGGGATGGACCGGCTGACTTAGCGCACCAATCGGCTCGAAGAGGGGATGTAATAGTCAACCCTGAGAGCGACCTGATTGTTGCCGAGAAGCCAGAGATAAGGGATGTTGAGCCCGATGAGCTGGAGGAGGTGGGTAACCTCGATCAGCAAGGCCATGTGCAGGCAGGCGGGGATGAGTCGTACGATGGGCCGAGTGGGGCAGGCGACGTCCAAATGGACGGGCAGCCGAGAGCCAGCAACCCAGAGCACGACCACATGGATGTGGATGGGATGGATGCCAACCCGGCGTCAGGCCCAGCAGCCCCCCAGCCGAGCGATGCAGATATGGAACTCATGCCGATCGATGAGGGCGAGATGGCTCTCGACCGACGAGCACCACCACCCCCTCCGCCACGGCGCTCTGGACGCGAAAGGTTGATACCACGACGCGTGTACGAGGACCATCTATTCGATGTCCGTGCTGTGCAGGTCGGTGTGACGAATGGACCGGTTGTCGTTCGTCTGTGTGGGGATAAGGAGACAGGAAGGGGCCGGGTGGATGCGAAGAGGGGAGGCGAGGGCTGCCGTTGCCTGGCAGTGAAGTCCTCACGATGCATGTGCAATGCTGGAAGGACCTCTGACGCACCACCAGACTGGTCACACCTGTACA